TATACAAAAAAGATCTTCATGACCCAGATAATCACGATGGTGTGATCACTCACCTAGAGCCAGACATCCTGGAATGCAAAGTCAAGTGGGCCTTAGGAAGCATCACTATGAACAAAGCTAGTGGAGGTGATAGAATTCCCATTGAGCTATTTCAGATCCTAAAAGATGATGCTGTGAAAGTGCTGCACTCAATATGCCAGCAAATGTGGAAAACTCAGCAGTGGCCACAGAACTGGAAAAGGTCAGTTTTCATTCCAATCCCAAAGAAAGGCAGTGCCAAAAATGTTTAAACTACCGCACAATTGCATTCATCTCACCCACTAGCAAAGTAATGCTCAAAATTCTTTAAGCCAGGCTTCATTAGTACATGAACCATGAACTTCCAGATGTTCAAGCTGGATCTAGAAAAAGCAGAGGAAACAGAGATCAAATTGCCAACATCCGCGGGATCATTGAAAAAACAAAAGAGTTCCAGAAAAACATCTACTTTTGCTTTATTAACTACACCAAAGGCTTTGACTGTGTGGATCACAACAAACTGTGAAAATTTCTTCAACAGATGGGAATACCAGGCCACCTGACCTGCCTCCTGAGAAATCTGTATGCAGGTCAAGAAACAACAGAACTGGACATGGAACAACAGACTGGTTCCAAATAGGAAAAGGAATACATCAAGGCTGCATATTGTCACCCTGCTTATTTAACTTATATGCAGAGTACATCATGTGAAATGCTGGGCTGGATGAAGCACAAACTGGAATCAAGATTTCTGGGAGAAATATCAATAACCTCAGATATGCAGATGATACCACCCTTATGGCAGAAAGAAAAGAAGAACTAAAGAGCCTCTTGATGATAGTGAAAGAGCAGAGTGAAAAGTTGGCTTAAAGCTCAACATTCAGAAAACTAAGATCATGGCATCCGGTCCCATCACTTCATGGCAAATAGATGGGGAAACAGTGGAAACAGTGAGAGACTTTATTTTATTTGGGCTCCAAAATCACTGCAGATGGTGACTGAAGTCATGAAATTAAAAGACACTTGCTCCTTGAAGAAAAACTATGACCACCCTAGATAGCATATTAAGAAGCAGAGACATTACTTTGCTGACAAAGGTCTGTCTAGTCAAAGCTATGGTTTTTCCAGTAGTCATTTATGGATGTGAGAGTTGGACTATAAAGTGAGCTGAATGCCGAATAATTGATGCTTTTGAACTTTGGTGTTGGAGAAGACTCTTGAGAGTCCCTTGGACTGCAAGGAGATCCAACCAGTTAATCTTGAAGGAAATCAGTCCTGAATAATCATTGGAAGGACTGATGCTGAAGTTGAAACTCCAATACTTTGCCCACCTGATGCAAAGATCCGACTCATTGGAAGAGACCACGATGCTGGGAAAGATTGAAGGTGGGAGAAGAAGGGGATGACAGAGGATGAGATTGTTGGATGGCATCACCGACTCGATGGGCAGGATTTTGAGCAAGTTCCGGGAGTTGGTGATGGATAGGGAAACCTGGCATGCTGCAGTCCATGGGGTTGCAAAGAGTTGGACACAACTGAGTGACTAAACTTAACTGAACTGAAGAGATGGATTATATAGCAAATATTACACCTGACTTATAGAAAAGGTTCAGTGAAGTAAGTCAGGGTTTGTCTTTTTCCACATTCTCTGATGGCAGAGGTGAATTTTATTTTTTGAAAATTTGTCCTGTCTTTAATCAGCATTCATTACTCTCCTCAGTGCTGCAAAACATTCATAAGAGAAAAGATGGCTTTCAATCTTCCTACGTTTTAAAAATTTTTTGTGGCTTATTTGATATCTTTCCTCTAGAATAAGGCCCATGTTTAAAAAGATTTTCTTTGGTTACTTATTTAAGAAATATAGCTATAGAACAGCTGTCTGATATATCAGAAACTGTGCTAGACTATGAGGGCTGAGCACTGAATATGACTGATGGGGTCCCGGCTGTTGCGGACTTTGGATGTTGGGGAGGAGCTAGAGGGAGAACCGGGGGTGGACAGTAAAGTGTCCTGCAGTTAAGGATGGGCAAAAGTGAATGTAGACAGCGGGGGATTAGGTGGGGCCAGAAGAGCTGAAAGGACTTTGTTGAGGAGCTCAGAACAATGATAGGAGTTAATCAAGTAAAAGAGAGTAAAATGAGCATTTCAGGAAGAAGGAAAAAACATATGCAAATATTCGGCAGTAAGGCTGAACACAGAAGGTTTGAGGAATTGGGAGAAGTTCAGTGTCATCTGAGCAGAGGACGTAGGAGGTGGGAGGTGGGTATAAAGGTGTGAAGCCGAAGAGAAAGGCAGGATATAGAGAGAGACACAGCTGGGTTGGAAAGCTCGGATTTTAGGAAGGCTGGGCTCATAGCAACTGGTGCATGGACATTGAAATGTGGATGTTCACACACCAGGGTTTGAATCCCAACTCAGCCACCCCTGGCCTGCGTGATGTTGACCACACCTCTGTGTCTCAGAATCTCAATGTCATTGTTGCTGGCAGTGTGGGGGTAATAATGCCTCCCTCCTAGGGCTGATTTGAGGATTGAATGAGTGAGCACATGACAAGTGCATAACATATAAGAGCTTGATAAATGATCATTATTGCTGTCAGTTCCAAGAACAACGGAAAGCTGTTCTTCTGTCTGGAGGAGTAATTTGTAAGGAGTGAGACAGGGATGTGAGTTAAGAGGGGATGGGAATAGTGCACATGAGGTGATGGTGGCTGGGACCAGAGGACTGACAGATATTGGACGGATATTTTTGGGTGGGAGGTAGGAAGCAAGGGTCATGGGAGTCTCAGGTAGTCCTTGGGATTTGGACACGGGGATGGTGACAAGTGTGGGATGTGTATCATGAAGTCGGTTGTGTACATGTTGAGTTTGTATCCATCAGGGATCAGTTGCAGGGAGCAGACTTCACTCCAGCTCGTTTGGCAGGAGGGCATTTATCCCAGTGTATTAAATGGCTTGGGCTTCCCAGATGACACTAGGGGTAAAGAACCTGCCTGCCAGTGCAGGAGACCTATGAGATGTGGGTTTGGTCCCTGGATCGGGGAGATCCCCTGGAGGAGGGCATGGCAACCCACTCCGGTATTCTTGCCTGGCGAATCCCATGGTCAGAGGAGCCTGGCGGGCTGCAGTCCATTTGGTCACAAAGAGTTGGACACAGCTGAAGCAATTTAGCGTGCATGCATTAAATGGCTTACAGATTATCAAGAGGGCTGAGGACACAGAATCCAGGTTGAGCTCTCAGGAGCAAGCTCTAAGGCTCCCCCTGAACTGAGCCTCTGTGGTCCCTGCTGTCTCTTCAGCAGTCTTGCAGTCAGGAAGTTGCCCCCTCTACATCCACAGTACCAGCGTTTCAAACAGGAAACCACCCCCAATAAGGAAGCCGCTGCTACTGCCAGCTCTAGAACCAACGTGAATCTGCAACAGACCATGTCAGCAGAATGGACGCTCCTCTCCTTACAGCCAGGCTCGCCACACCTGCTTATCTGGACACTGGAACCCCGGCAGACCCCTGCAGCTACAAGATAACCACAGGCCTCCACAGCTGTGCATGCCGAGTGAGTGGATGAACATTCCAAAATCTAAGACTAAACCATTCTAAAGCCTGAGCTGCAAGGGAATAAGGAAAGTCTGTTTTTCACTTTCCCACCTGTGGGGCAGGGAAAGGCAAGCTTGAATAGTTGTGGGATATGACTCATGAGAACATCATAAAATCAGTTTAGGTGGTCACAACAAGGGTATTTCCTTAGTCACAGATAAGGGTAAGTATTACTTAATGAAATGTTTGTCTTCGGTGTGTGTGTGTTGTTTGTATGTGCACGCACAAATGCAGTTGTTTGCAAAGTAGGGTTTTCTTTTTTTCTTTTCTCCCTCTCTGGGTCATGGTAAGAAAGTGAAACACAGCTTGCGAGCCACTGCACTAGTCACTGAGTTCAGTCTTCCACTGCAAGGTCTCAGAGAGAACTTGCGCACAATGTTTACTGAATGTATTGGACTGGATTTTCGGGAAAGAACCAAACTGAATGTAGAGATGATGCAGTCATTGGCAAGAAAATGTCATTTGAAGGCAAGGGGGTTGGTTCACTCACCCAGGGAGACAGTGTGGAGTGAGAAGAGAAAAGAGACCTGAGCCTAAGGAACATGGATGTTTGGTCTCAGGGGAGAAATTTCCTTCTGGTGGTGTGCGTACCCCTCTTGCAGTCTGGATCTTTCATTCATTCTCCAGAAAGAGAACCATGTCCAGGGGAGCCCTGGAGTGCTTTGGCAAGACGTTCCAAGCACACGCTAACTAGAGCTGATTTTTCAGTAGCCTGGCAGAGCCGTGGCACACAGGCTGGCACCTGGGCTGGGGCCTGGCACCACACTGGCACTCAAGACTTTGTGTGGGATGGTAGCACAGAGCAAAGAGGTTCTTAGGAAATACAGAAATGACTCTTTAGATTCCAGGACTCCAGCTTGTGAGTTGTAACCTCAGAAGAGTCTTAAACCCTCACTGGTCAAGGCGAACTTAGTAGCTTTAGGGTACTATTTCTAATTTTTAAAGAGAATTCTTTTGCTATATTGAAAAATGGCAATAAGGGATGGGAACTATGCAGGAAGATCCTTTTTGCAGCAAGATCAGAAGGCAAGCTACATCCTTATCCATATCCTCATCCAGAGAATGAGCATACTCTGATGTATTCAAACAATGAAATAGTATAATAGCAGTTAAATGAATGAGCTATTAATAGATCCGTGTGTGTCAGCTTAGATAAATCTCAGAACCTTAGTGTTATATGAAAATTTCAAGTCACAAAATGCCATATAAAGTGGGATATCATTTATTGAAAAATTTAAAAACACACAGACTTGTGCTATGTATTCCTATGGGGAAACAAATATAAAACCATATAAGTGAAAGTGTTTATCACTCAGTTCAGTCATGTCCAACTCTTTATGACCCTATGGACTATAGCCCCCGCCAGGCTCCTCTGCCCCTGGAATTCTCTAGGCAAGAATATTGGAGTGGATATTCCCTTCTCCAGAGAATCTTCCTGACCCAGGAATCGAACCCAGGTCTCCTGCAGAATTGCAGATGGATTCTTTACCATCTTCGCCACCTGGTGACGGGGGCATGCAGACGCCCAGGCTGTAGGTAGCTCTGGGGAGGGGGCAGGGAAGTGAACATAGCGGGGCGGCTTCAGCTCTACCTGTACTTTTACTGTTTAAAAGAAGCAGAAGCAAATATAGTAAAATATTAATAGTTATTAAATACTGGTGAGTCATGGGAGAAATACTACTTTCTGTTCTTTTCATAATTAAAAATAAATACAAAAATATATAAACTTTGCAGTGCCCAGAGCAATAATCAGGCTTCTTCCCCTGACCCCAGTTTAAGCAGATGACCTGTAAAACAATTATTAAGGGACAGTGTATATACATACATACATACACATATGCATATATAGAGTCTACATATATGTACATGCATACATACACACCTACTTACACACACATATATATACACTCACCTATCTATGTAACCTTAAATAAAACAAGCTTTTAATTTTTTTACTGCAAAATATTGTTCATATTATATATTTCTTCATTTTCTGAGAGATGAAACATTTATGTCATGGGACCCTAAACTTTTTCCATGATTTGACCATGAACAAAAATCTACAGACCATCTGTCTCACATTTGAATGATGATCCTGAATTGTTTTGAGAGTCAGGGAGAAACAGAGGAATCCCTGAGGACTGAGGCCTGCTTCAGGGCAGTGCTCGATCGATGTGACTTGAGGAATTATGAAAAGGCTAGAAGGAAATGGCAACCCACTCCAGTATTCTTGCCTAGAAAATCCCATGGACAGAGGAGCGTTGTAGGCTACAGTCCATGGGGTTGCAAAGATTTGGACATGACTGAGCGACTTCACTTTCACTTTCACAGTGGGGGCAGAGGGGTCTGGTGGGTAGTAATGGGGTCAGGAGGCTGGGCTTAAATCCCCACTTCAGTCTCTGCCCTGTAGTGGGCTTGCATTCCAACACTGGCTCAGCTGATGTCTCAGTATCTTTCCAGAGATGACACTCACTGATTCCTCTGTGCTCTTAACGGCTTTGTCCCCCAGCGCCAGGGCAGTTGGCGTGTTCCAGGGATTCCGGAAGGCTCCCTCGTTCGGTGAATCCTGCCCAGTTTCTCCTGCACTCCTTTCTTTGGTGCCTGATCCTATCAGCCCCCCTGGACCTGCAGGGCCCTTCTCCCCGCTAAGCATTGTGTGATGTGGGGATTCTGAGAAGGAATTGGATGAGGAGGCATCCATGTGTGATGAAGAAATGGGTGAGGAAGAAGTCCCCAAATGTGGAGAAAGACAGTCCTGTGAATTTTCCCAAGGGCAGATATACATTTATACTCACTTATTATTATTCATCAACTCGTCCATCACCCTCCTCTGCAAGTTCTATAAGTATAGTGTGTGTGTGTGTGTGTGTGTGTGTGTGTGTGTATTTATGTGTTGGGGATGGCCGAGGCAGAATGAGTGAGCACCAGATGAATTTTTACCAAAGAGGCATAATTTTAGGCAGCCTGGACTCCTGGTTTGAAAAATGACTTATTTTACTTGCATAGATGGTGTCATTTGCTCACAGCATTTCCAGGGGCTTGGTAACCCTCAGGGAGTGGCAGAATTCCATTTTAAACTTTCTAGGCCATCCACTCCCTATGGGTTGCCATTTTCTTTTCCGGGGCTCTTCCCAACCCAAGGATTGAATCCAGGTCTCCTGCATTACAGGCATATTCTATACCATCTGAGCCACCAGGCATTCCATATTATCCCCACATTGGGTTATTAATGATTATTAATATGATTATTATTCTCTTATAATTCTTTGTCTTGCTACTGGATTCCTTTAAATTCTGTGTCTTCAGATGCTGGCTTTCAGGCCATTGCTCGACAGAGACTGAGATTAGGAACCCCTCAGGAGGTAAATGTCAGGTACCTCTGCTCTGGAGTGTTGGTTAAAAATGAAAATGGAAACTTTCTCAAGTTAATATATGAGACAGTAGAAAATTTACTTAGCTTCCACATGCTTAGGTTGCAGATACTTTTTCAAGAATGCAGGAGTTGGTTTCATCAGGATTCGTTTGTCCTACAGAGTTAGGGTGTAAATGCCAGGTGCCCCCTTATTCTGTGACTTTGGGTCCTCAAAACCTATGTTTTCTTTTTTACCACAGACCACTTGACTTGCTGAATTCAACATCTCTTCCAATGCCCACTCCTCCCAAAGAATCTACTCCAGAAAGTGTTGAAGAGAAATGTAGACTTTACTGAACATTTCTTAGTGGAGACCTAGAAAGCGGTCAGTCTAACACCCGGCTCAGCAAATTACTTTAATCTTTCCCTTAGCCATTTCTATTCTCTGAAGTCCCTCTCATCCATACTACCACTGCTGTTCTTTTTCTTCCCTTCTTTGAAACCATTTCTAGTCCTTCTCTGACAAACTTTCCTGAGTTCCTACTCCTTTCTCTTCTTTCCTCCTGATTGAGAAAAATGCAAATTTTACTCCCTTCCTTTACATAGCAGTTAAGGCATTCCTTTTTCCTCTGAAGCATAACTTCACGAGCTTATATTTCAAGTCAGTGGTCCTTCTCTCAAACAAGGTGCTCCCTCACAGACGGACAAATGTAAACGTAGGTTGAAATGTCCTGGCCATCCAGATCAGGAGAGGAGGCGGCCGTTCGTCAGAAGTCCTCACCATTTTCAGAGTCATTGTCTGTCAACAACACAGTGAGGCCTTAAAAACCCTCCACAGAGTGGTTTCCTGAGAGCTGTTTGAAGTGGGGAAAGAGTTCATGTGGGAGACAGCAGCCGCTCTTCTCTTACCAAACGGCTGATCACCGTGACGGCTGCGTGCGGGCTGAGTACCTGCTGAACTCACGGCACTTTCCTGACGGGAAACAAAAGCTGTCTGTTGCTGTCCTATTGTCACTCTCAGTTCCGGCGGAGTCAAGCCTGGCCAGGTGGTTTTCCAAATACCAGCAAGACAATAGATGCAGGATGGTCAGTTTCGCAGACTTTAGATCCTACTGTTGACTCCGTTTGTCAAGAAAGGTGCCCTGCCCCTCGTCCCCAGCTCCCGACTCTGCTGAGGTGATGTGACAGCCGGAAGGCTACGAAGTGCTGTCACTAAGTGCCAATGTGGGGGCCTTTCCTTTGGCGGGGGGCTTCGGGAACAGCACCTGGGATCTTAGTTCTCAGGTCTGTGACGAGAGAGGCTGCTCTTCTGAGATGGAGGAGACTTGGAAAGATTAAAACTCAGCCCCTTGGCTTTTTGACATGAAATCCAAGTTCCAGGGAAGGGAAAGGACTGGCTCTGGGTCACACAGTGAGTTAGTGATGGGGCTGGGCCTAAACCCATGCCTCCTGGTTCCCATGTGTGGCTCTGTCCACCATGCCACATTGCGTCCCTGCCTTCTGTCTGGAAGATACTTCACTCAAAACTCTCTTTTTAACCCTGAGTTGGATCTTCCCAGGGGATGGAAGTGTACTATTTAATTCCCTTTGTGTTTTTCAGTCTTGGCCTAAAGTTTTCTTTTTTTTTTTTCCCCAAGTGTCTGGAAGGATAAGTGCTGTGTGGTAGGGAGCTGCTTTCTTCCCAAAGGCCAGGAGGGGTGGTTCAGTCTGAACTACTGTATAAGAAGATGGACAGCACGTTCTCAAGAGGAAAGGTGTTTGTATCCACATATTGGAATTTATCCACCTCGACCGATATGGTGGTATTGACCTGAAGGTGTTCCAACAAGAATTGGGAGAGGTTCTGGTATATGTTTTTGGTTTGCACTCCAGACTCACACACTGTCACCAGCGTCTGCTTTTTGACATCTTTGTTGATGAGGAGCTCCAGCTTCAGGTCTACCGAATGCTCTGGGCATTTCACAAGAAACTGCAGTTGGCAGATGATGAAGTACCAACCTGGGAACTGGATCACCAGGTTCCCATCCTGATATCTGACTCCATGGATGATGCCATCTTTGTTCCAAGACAACTTGGTTTTGTTTATATGCTTTGACACTGGAAGGAGAAAGACAAAAGGACCTCAGAGTCATTAGGCAAATTTCAGATGCAGATTAGAAAATCTGAAGTCTTTATTCAAGTTTCCCCATTCAAGCCCCGTGTTTTCTGTAATAATGCCTGCTGGTTCAGCCATCTGGAATATCTTGCATGTTAGTCCTAGGCATTGCTGAGTGTTTAAGGTACAGGTACAAAACCATCCCTCTGCTTTTTCTCTAAAGCATAAAGCTGGAGGGTCAGAAAACACACAGTCCTAGACCTTTATCCCCTACAGAGGTAACTGTTTTCCACTTAATCATTTTATCACTCTGTTATTATTATTATAAGTTCTACTTTTCCCTTTTCAGACCATAAGTTCCTGGACTGTTCTCCTTATAAGTTTTAGACTATCATGGACATATATTCAATCAATCAATGAACATTTGATCAATAGGGGACTGCTATTGGGTAAGCATTGCACAAAGTATCAGAGAAAAAGCGTTCAGTTTTGTTCAATTAGTAACCAATTCAGGCATCAAGAAGTCTAGGAGAACCTCAGTCTGTTCTTTCACATTCAGATGCATCTCTTAACTATTCATTTTCTGAAGTTTTAAATGTCTTCCTCTCTTTAAAAGGGCAGTCAGACACCATTGTGTAGACCTCTCAAGTTCACATTAAGGGATTCCTCCCAGCTGGGATTTATAGAGGAGCAGAGAATTAGCAGGCCCTCTAAGCAGACATGTTGGTGTCAGAAGCCAAGTCTCTTGAGTCTTTTCACTGACAAGTCAAAATCAGCCCTGATGGGTCCAGGTGTCTTTCAAAATTGGGAAGCTGGCATGTTCATTTTAATTGCTTTCCTTTAAACCTTGTTGCAATTCCACTGAAGAATGAAAACTAATCTTAACTGCAAAATTGAATTTTGAAAATGAACAGGATGGCTATTGCAGAGAATCTTGGCCATCTCCGCTGTACCTCATCTATCCTAGCATAAATGCCTCTTATTAGTTCGTCTCTAAGGAACCTCTTACCTGAAGCATGCTGCAATATGCAAGTGGGGCCTGTGCCAACATGGTCATTAAGCTATCAATCTGGACACCAGGAAGTTTTGTGACTCTCTTGTGAATGACTTGATAGAGGCAGAGATTAAGAGCCTGCTTCCCACATATGAGGGAAAGGACAGTACCCTTGGCCTGAATGAAGATGGGTGGGGGTGGAGCACCAATTCCCTCACAGGCCAGGAAGGCAAATGTAACGGAGTGAATGAAGTTTAGGAAGCAGGAATCTTGCAGCTTTTGAGAGTAATGCTCCCCCCTCTCCCCCTAAGCCATTTAAATTTAAATTATAAAAATGATCACACAGGTTAAACAAAATACACATGCGGGTCACGTTTTGGCACTTGTGACCTCTGGCTTAGAAATCTGAGAAAGGCCATAGGAAGTGACCCTCATATGGTTGGGGTTCCTGGTTTTGGTTACTGACCTTGGAGGTAGGCCCATGACTTCTTGAATGGAGCCCTTTCCAGGATACATGAGATGTCCTCTGAGCAATTCCCTAAAAATAAGAACGCACGTTAAATGCCTCTCTCTGCTCTGGGAACTGGAGACACGAGATCTTTTCCCATGACCCTTTGATGGAGACAATTACTATCCTGTTTCCATTTGGGGGATAAAAGGAAAACCCGTTTTTTTTCTCATTTTGCCATCAAGTACCTTAGGAGTTTTGTTTTTTTTTTCCTTTAAATTTGATTGCTTCCACATGGACTTTTACGAAAGATTGTGGAAATTGGAGGAAGGAAATAAACAGGGCCTGAGTTCCTGTATGTACCTGGTGCCATTCTTGACACTTAAAATACTCCACCTCACTGGATTTTTGCAACAGCTCTGTGAGAGAGGGCTGATTAAATCCCTTTGAGAGATAGAAAAAAGCACGGACACTATACAAGTTCAGTGCATTGTCTTGTGTGACTCAGCTAGACAGTGGTGGTTAGAACACTAAGGCTGGTAGTAATTATTGCCATTCTTCCTTTAAGAGTGTACTTATGTGTTGATTGAATTCTCAGAATAGCTCTGCAAGGCTAATGCTGATGTCCAGACGTGTTCAGCAATACAAGGTCATTGCAAGTTGGAGGAAACCCTGATAGCCACTCCCATGTCTATCTGATTTCAGAGACCAGGCTTCCTCCTCAAGGCCATTTTGCCAGACAGAAGAGGTAAACACATCCTAGTGTTCAATTTTAAAAGGATATTAGATCATAGAGGCCTAAGCAGGGAGCCTGCTATATGGAGCTTCCTTGGCAGGGAGAAAAGACAATGTTTATGTCATTGTGGAATTTAAGAAATCAGAATATTTTAAATGTATTCACTGGTGATGGCAGCTTCATTTCTTAGTATAGTAACTATTTTGTATGCACAGAACCAAGCTATACATTTCCTGCAACGACTCATGAATTCAGCTTATTCTGGGCATTTTTTTCTTCTCGTTGGGTCTTGGTTTCCCTCATCTATAGAACTGGCAGATCTAGGATCTGACATTGACATCTTTTTGATGATGTCACCAGAGATGACAGAGATGACCCGATGATTCCATCTGTCAGAGACTAGGCAGCCATTCAGTCAAAGTGACCACATCCTAGCAGGCTTGCTCACGGGGATTTTAGAGAAGCATCTGTTGGACTCGCCACAGTCTTCTACATTGCCCTCTGTCCTGGCCTGGGAAAATCCCTCCTGGCCTTCCTTACAGTGGGGGCTTGCAGTGGTAGAAAGTTAAGTGAAGAGTTCCCCCTGCTGTCTGAACAAGCTCACTGCTAGAGGCACCCCCAGCAGAAGCAGGGGTCTGTTTTCATTCTTATCTCCCCTGGAAGTGTAAAGAGGCTCTGGTCCACAGGTCTCTTTGGTGAGGAGGGCTGGAGGGCTAGATGCCATTGTTCTTTTGATTTCATCTCTCACTCATCCTCCAGCTAGGGATGTTGTCCTGCCTGCAGCCCACTCTTGGGTTGTGTACAGTCACAGCAAAGGAGGCAACGAGGACTGCTCATTCTTTTTTTTTTTCTTTTTTTTTTTGAGCCATGCCCCACAGAGCTTATGGAATCTCAGTTCCCTGCCGGGGGATTGAACCTGAGCCAAGGCAGTGAAAGCCCGAATTCTAGCCACTAGGCCACCAGGGGACACCGAGGGCTGTTCATTCTTAAATGCGCTGTGGCTATGAGTAGAAGGCCCAGCCTTCTTTTTTGGGGGGTGTGGAACATCAGGTCAAAAGGAATCGCAGAGAGACATGTCTGGCTGTGTCTCTTTGCTTGGAACCCCTTTCTGACCCCACTGTGACTGCAGGATCGGGGCCAAGCTCCTCCCCATGGCATCTGCGTTCCGTTGGGTCCTAATCCCTCATGAACAATGCAGCCTCCTCCCACACCCCCCTCTTCCCCTTGTTGGCCTCTTGTGCCTGTCCCAGCAGCAGAAGTGGTGGCGCTGGGAATCATGCGACTGGCCGACACACAGTGACTAATGGCTATTTTCTCTTTGCTCTGCTGAGCCTGGCACATGCGTTGTTTTATTTCGTTCTCACCGCCACCCCACAAGAAAGGCCCTCTAGACACTTCTCCCGCACATAAGGAGACTGAGTCTTTAAAAGTTCCGTGGCTTGTCACATTTTCATAGCTAGTCAGTGGTAGAGGGGCAATTCAAGCTGAGGCTGTCTGACTCTAATGTCCGAGTGGATTCTTGACCATTCTACTGGAGGTTGGGCCCTTGGGATGCCCCCAATTACACTATGTTGGTTTTCCATTTCATCTGGAATCCTCCTCTTCACTGGCAAGCTGTGCTTTGTTTAAAGCACTGCCTGGCAGCCACCCGCTCTGGGAACCCTTCTCTGACCCTCCCTTCCGTTTGCCTATTTGCCTTCTCCATTGGACCATGCATCCTCAGGGCAGAGACTACTGTTTCCACATCCCCACTGCCAGCCCAGAAGATACTGTGTAAATGTTTGTTGAGTTCAATCAGGTAGTCTGTCTCTGCTCCTTCCCGTGGATGTCAGCTCAGTTCTCAGGGCTTGAGGAAGGGAATGCGGATGCTTGGCCTGACCTCGCCTTCTGGGCTGGACGACACCTGGCCTCATTCTCTCTTTGGTCCTGCAGGTCAGGCTAGATTACACGGGAGGTTAAGATTCAAGCCTTTGGCTCAGGCCAGCACATCACACCGTGAACAGACTCCTCCTCGGCCACGACCCCTCCCACCTTGTCTCTTGTGGGATCTGTCAGTTGAGCCTCTCTTAACAGGTGGATGTAGAAGTACAAGCCTGGACTTGCCTCTCACACATACAGGTTCTTTTTTTTTTTTTTTTCTTTCCCCTTTGGTCTTTGCATGTTTGTTGGGTTGACCTCAGCTGTAATTCTGAGAAACCCAAGGATGGAAAAAAAAACTTATTTTGAAGCTTTTGCATTTCCTGAAATCAAATGCCATGGTGTATCTTAGTTTTTCTTAAAGAATCTGTTAGATGTTTTGAAAAGAAGGGAAGACAGAGGCAACTCTCCTGAAGAATGACATCACTGAGTTGGCTAAGGGAAGGGACTGGGGAAGCAGGGCTCCGGAGGAGCTCTCGGTGGAATGGAACTGCTGAACGTGGAGAGGAGCCTGGAGAAGGCACACTGCTGGTCCTAAGCATCTCTCAAGGCCGTTAGGAGGGCCAGGGCTGATGGGGGCTGGCTCTGTGGGCCCAAACAACATGGCTCCTGGAAGTTTAGGGAGATAATGCCCTCAGCTAACAGCGAATGCCGCTCTTGTCCCCATTTCCCGGATGAGGCAGTGGGAAGACTTTCATTAAGGACATACAGCATACACTGCAAGTCACAGTGCTGGCAGCTCAAATACTGGACCAGTCAGTGCTGTTCAGAAATGTGTTGGGCTGGTGTGAGAGTCATGTGACTCTTGTCAAGACCTAGATGAATGTTCCATGGGTCACCAGCCATGTGGCTTTGAGTCTCCTTATCACCCTCTGAGCCCATGATGTGATCTTTTTTGGTTATGAGACAGGAATCCTAAGTATTCCTGGAAGTTTGAATTTGGGGAGCATTGGGAGCAAAACATACCTCTGTTTCATTTATTTCCCAACCAAATTAGCTGCACCTAGGGGTTTAATTTGAAGAACTAAACACTAGGGAGGGGAAGTGAGAACAGTCCGCACATCTTGGCAAGTAGATGGCCCGGGAGTTAGAATCTAGAACTTTTCTTTGTCTGGGCGGTTGTGTCTCAAGCTAGATGAAGAGCAGGGTGGATCAGATGATCCAGTAGGGCCCTTCTAGCTGACTCTAGCTGGCTCTGTAGACTCAAGTGTACACTGCCAGGCCTGCTGCAGGGACACAGAGTCAGTCCCAGCTCCAACTGTCTTATCTTTTGAGCATGTTTCTCTACCCCAGCTAGGAGTCTGTCTACACACATTAAGACTTCCGGACACCTGCAGCAGTAGAACAGAGTGTTTTAGGTCTGGGAATAACCTAAGTTATGAACAACCTGGTTCTGTAAGGGTTTTCATGGTTCACAGAACTGGAAGTTCCCTGAGAAATCATTCGTCCCAGCCTTGGTAACTACATAACACACGTGCTCCCCAGTGTTACCCCCACAAGCAGACTTGTCCGAGGTCACCCGGAGTCAGTGGTGGGGCTGGGCCACAGTCTGGACCCCTTGCTTCTGTCGGGCATTCCATCTTCCAGACAACTCAGGTTCTCTGTGGATACTCCTGAGAACCAAGGCCTTCAGGTGGGCAAGACTTGTAAGCCATCCTCTCAATCCTCAGTCTCCTCTAGAAGGATAATGAAATTTTCTTGGGCTTTGTTAGGAAGCCTGGAGAGAAACATTTGCCAACAAAGCCCTCCTGGTCAGGTGCATAGAAGACAGAGACAGGGAGAGAGATGTTGCTTTAGGTGGTTGGAAGGGTCATGTTTTAGATAGAAGTCAGAACAATGCAACATGAAGATGGGAACCCTTCTTGAGATGTCGAAGTATTAGACCCAAAAGGACCATTGGATGCCAAGTTGACTGTGATGCTAGGTTTATGAGTGGAGAGGCTGAATCCAGAGGGACTGGCTCAAGACCGCACAGTAGGTTAGTGGCAGAGCTGGGTCCAGAGCACAGAGTCCCTGACTCCTAGTCCTCGGCTCTGCCCTGGTTTCCAGTCTTCCCATGCAGCAGAGAGGCTTAAATGTAGGGATAAGTGGGTTTGCAGCCACCATACACACTGGCCTGAAAACTGACTAGACAGCTATGGGTGCCTGGAAAACAAGCACTAATGAGCCATCTGGACTTCCTCTTCCCAGGGGAATGCCAGCCTGAACCCTGCCAAGTAATAAGTCAGGGGCTGTCAGGCTTCCATTAAGATGCAGCAATGCCCAATGAGGCAAAACAAGCCACACCTACCATTCCAGCCAGAAAGTATGTGGTCTGAGTGCCAAGTACCTTCCAGGTTAATATTGGAGCAAAACAGACACAGTGCATCTCAAAGAAAGCACCTGGGTTCTGGTCAAGGCTTCTAACATCAGCCCTGTCACTTCCTGTTGCTGCTGCTGCTGCTGCTAAGCTGCTTCAGTCGTGTCCGACTCCGTGCGACCCCATAGACGGCATAGACGGCTCCGCCGTCCCTGGGCTTCTCCAGGCAAGAACACTGGAGTGGGTTGCCATTTCCTTCTCCATCACTTCCCGTTACTGACCCTCAATCACTGCATCTGTTAAGTGGGGCTAGTAACAGTCATCCCCAACGTGTGCATGTTGCGAAGATACAATGAGGTTATGGATGTCAAATGGCCTGTACAGCACACGGCTTGGAGGGATACCCAGCACGTGGTAGCCCCCTCTTGTCCCACTCCTCTTTCCTTGGTTCTTAAGTAGCACAGCTTAGCAGCACTCTTAGCAGACTTGTCTGGCCAATGAGACGTTCATTAAACCAGAGCCCATGACGTTGTCTGGTGGACTGAGGTTTCTTAATTATGTACCTAGTGTTTGAGGCCATTGGATGCTCTCAGGAAAGTGTGAATAGCCCTTCGTCCATCTGTTGGAACTATTTTAATCCTGCCAAGAAAGAGAGGAATCATCCTTATGACTCTGCATCTACCATGTCCTGGCTTCTGAGTTCCACCCTTTTGGCGCAATATCCAGGAGAGTCGCAATAGCGACATCTAGGGGAGAGCCTCGCCATTATCGGTGGAATTCGGAATCAAAGTGAATCCTTAACCTAAGGGTTATTTCAGCTGACTTCAGTTTCCTTGGCTAACTAGCCTTGGGGAAACTCCAGAATAGGCCATTTGTTAAACAAAGGACTAAGTAGCCTTGGGTTTACAGACAGCATTTGAGGAGTAGCTATTCTGGCATGCTCAGTGTTAAACACATAGAGTCACCAGTAAATACAAGTTGAGATCAAGTGAAAATTCATTTGAATCCCTTGAAGGTTCCTTGGGATTTTGAGGGTTTTTTTTTGTTTCTTGTGGGATCTTAGTTCCTGACCAGGTATTGAACAGGGCCCACAGCAGTAACAGCACAGAGTCCTATCAACTGGACCGCCAGGGAATTCCCTTGGGGTCTCTTCAATCCTGACCTGTTGCAGAATGTAAGATAAAGCTACCTGACTTGCTGTGTAATTCCTTGAAATTCACTTATACTAAGTGCAGATAAATTGATATTATTGGAGGGTATTTAAGAAGCACCCTTAAAGTCTAACTGAAAAGGCAAAGACAGATCTGCTCACGTCTGGCTCCCATTTCCTGGCCCAGGGCTTGCACAGCGGGGCTTATAGAAATTTAAGACAACATGTGTGGTGTCCAGAGAGCTTGGATGAAACATGTAGTGAAGCCAGTTTGAGAAACAAATTTGCTTTCCTTCCCTCTTTCCCTTCTTCCTTCTGTCCTTCCCTCCTTCCCCCACCTCTGTATCTTTTTTTCTCCTCTTCCCCAAAGTGAAAGATGGGGACTTTTCTCCTGGATTTAAAGACTTGTGACATGTGTATGTGCAAAATTCAAGTATAAATGTTAATATGCGCCTCGATCTGAATTCTTCTCCTTTTTCTTCCCTTCCTCCTGTCTTCCCCCCACCCCCTTCTCCCTTCCCCTCCCCTCTCCTCTGGGTGATGAGGGGCAGGGATTAAACACAGATGGCTCTAGCACTCTGACAGCCTCTCCAGGACCCTGTCCCACCTTATTCTTTGTGGCCCATTTTCTGGTTTATTTCTGTTAGAGAGATCCCCTGATCCCGGTTAGCTCTGCCTAAAGAAAAAGGCGGTTTCAGAGTGAGCTCTGAGTGACTGGGTTTAAAGTGAGCATAAAGGCAGATAAGTCCCTCGAGGCCTGTGACTGCGCGGAAAGCAGTGGCCGCCGAGCAGTTGTATCTCCGCTTAGTGTGGGGGATAAAGAAAAAAACGACGACAACCAGCGGACTGGGCAGTTAGATCCGCTTTGCCCATCTGACAGATGCGAGGTCTCCGTTTGCTGTGTTCAGCCCTTATGGGAAGGAGGCGGCTGCAGCTCTACCTGCCTCTTGTGCGGCCGAAGTTCAACCCGGTTCTTGGCCTTCTGCACCTCTTCCTCAGCTGGGGATTGAATTCAGGCGGGGCATGGGGCACACATCCCCACAGGGCTCCTCCCGGTGGTCTGTCTCCACCTCCTCAGGGCCCCCAGGAACCTCTGGATATGAGGGGGCACGTGACACTCACAGGGAAGGCGGATTCTCGTAACTGGCTGGCAGTGGGGGTGGGGGGAGGGTCCTCCCAGGTCTCAGGATCCTCCGCTGCCAAGCTGGGGCCTGAATTTGGCCTCCAGATCCCCTGGATCTGCCTCTCATGTGGATCCACGTGTGGAGGTGCCCTAGTGGCCCTCTCTGGCCCGGAGCTCAACACTCGAGAACACGCTTCAGTGACCGAAGACAAACAGCTTCAGGAACAGGTGTGGAGGATGTGACAGAGAGCCCTGGGGGGATTCCTGGCCTTGGAGCGCTGGTGGGGACACTGAATGGAAGCACAGTCACGTTGGGCTCAGCATCTTGACCCTGACATCCTGGATAAGCCAAAGGGCTCCCAGGCATGTCAGCCTGGACTTTGAGGTCAGGCCCCACTCCTTGCTAGCTGTGCAATCTTAGGCAAGTCGGTAAACCTCTCTGTGCTCAAGTTTCCCACTTAAAAATGTCAAGGGGCTAATAATTATCTTGGGGTTTGTTGTGAGACTGCACGAGTGAATCACGAAGCCCTCGGCCCAGTGCTTGGCCCAAAGCAAATGCCACGTCAGTGTTTATTATCTTCATCCCATCACATCCTCACACCTGCCTAGCTGGGGAATAAAAGAAAAACTGATTTACAAGTCATCTGCGGAATTCCTCCAGTGCAGGTAAGAACTGATACTTGGTTGTTGGGATGTTGGAAATGCCTGGGACTGAGACCAAGGTGACCAAAATTATTTTGCGATGAAGTCAGGAGTTTGACTTTCTGCCGAGTTTGTGAGGGGAAGTGATGGGTGATGAAATTGGGAAGAAGGGCATGGAAGCAGGTGGAAGCGGGGTGGGTCAGTATGTGTGCTAGAGGGCTGAACCCAAGGGAAGAGCGCTGTCTCCTGAGAGTGCTCTCCCTGCTGGGTAGGGCGCAGAGGCCTCGCGATCGCGTGGGATCTGAAACTCTGTTCTGCCTCATCCTCCATGTTGGAAGGCACCACCCCACCAGCCTCTCCGCATTCCCTAAATCCTGCTGTCAGCTTTGCTGCACACAAACGTGGGTGCTTCTGGAACTCTGGGGAGATCAGGCGTGGGGGCTTGTTCTGGGATTGGGGCAAATAAGGCACAAACACGAGAACATGTGAGATTCAGAATGTGGGGGAGGCAGGAGACAGGAACAAGGATGACAAGAAGCGGCACAGCCCCCCTCTCCCGGCCCTCCCGGACCCCGTGCCCAACCGTGTTGGCGGACAAGGGTCGTGTCTGTGGTCCCGTCCTGCCCTCGGAGCGGCTCTGTGAAGCAGCCCTTAGTGACTGTTTGCGGGAGGAGAGGAGAGGGTTCTCCCCCCGGGGCCCTGCCTGGCTGCCCACAGTCCCAGCCGAGCCTCCGCCCAGGCCCCGAGTCCTCAGCACGAGGGAGTGGGGGCGAGGTGGCCGTCTGCTGGTGACAAGTCTCCTGGCCAGGAGTGGGAGGTGAGTGCTGGGACTCAGACATCCTCTCCTTACAGAAAAGGCCTGGCGTTCTGCGGTTTCCCTGCAGCTAAGTGTCATCCTATGTGAACATCGCTTTGGTTTGTGTGCTTGGCCCTGTTTGCCAGGCTCTAGGCTGCTGCTGGCTTCCTGGTGGGCAGTTCCCATCGGCCGGCGCCACAGGGCTCCCTGGTAAGGGTCCAGCTTCTGCGCTCATCCACCCCGGTGGCAAACCACATGATGCCCCCTGAGGCCTCTGGGAGACAGTGCCCCTCTGCCCGGGAATGTCTTGCCGTGGCTTTTCCAAAGGGAGTTCGCAGCCTCTGACTGTTTACAGGGGATTTGTTGGGGAGGAGGCTATGCCTCCTGCAGGAAGCCTGCAGACTTCCTCAAGATTATCAGGAGCCGCTCAGATGAATGGAGATGCATCAGCTTGGCCCTGACAGCCCACCTCCGCCCCCACCCACTGTGTTGGACAGTCATGATGTTTCTGGTGGTTAATCATCTGTGATGTGATATGGACTATCCCCTGCACAGTTACTCCTAATTCCAGTGTCTTACCTCCTTTAAGGGGGAATTGGCCCAGCGGGTTGGGAATGGAGTCCTGGAAGAGAAGAAAGAGAAAAGTAAAAAAACAAATGAGGATGTCGTCAGATTGAAACAGCTAATCTTTTTCTTTTCCACTTTGGTTGCCCTCAAAGTGTTGTATAATTTAGAATTTGTGTTCCATCTGACTCTAAGATTAAAAAAAAAAACCCCAGAAACTAATTCACTGACTTAGTTTACATGAGCTTTACAACCTGTTTATCAGAAATAATATTGGAGGATTACTATCCATGTTTCACAGGTGAGGAACTGGAAGCTGAGAGGTAAAAAGTGTATGGCCATCAGGGATGAGAATTTGCAACTCTTAACTTTCAGTCCAGTGCTTTTTCTTTTCACCACCACATGTACTATTTTTTCCTACTTTGGTTAACATAAGGCAAACAACTGTAGTGTATAAATATATGTGGGCTCTTTTTTTCTATGTTTGATTCAGCAAACAGTGAAAGTATGTTGTAAATATACCTGGGAAGGTACTGTTTCTCCTGTGGTTGGAAATTCTGAATTGATAGAATGACTATGTGCCAAGCATTGTGAAGATACCATAAATGATTAAATTGGGTCCCTGTCCCTGTGGACTTATTGCAGATTTACATTTGACTCTAATATCTAAATACTTATATAACATAAATAAGCATAAATGTATATTATTTATGTTAATGTTCACATATGTTTTCTATTAGTTTTTCTAGAATAAGCATAACTGTATGTATAAATAATCACACAGTTAAGTAAGAGGTTTCTGGCAGACAATCTGATAGCAGATTGTCTCCTGAAGGAGGACCTGCGGGGTTGGGGAATGGAGGGGAGGAAAGGAGGTCTTGCTCACATGCGCTGAGCTAGTAAGCAACAGAAGCAGATGGGCAGTTTTTCACCCCAATAAATTTTTCAGAAACTGTTCTCTATGTCTGCATCTCCATGTCTTCCCTGTAAATAGGTTAATCAGTGCTATTTTTCTAGATTCCATATATATGCCTTAATATGCAATATTTGTTTTTCTTTTTCTGACTTACTTCCCTCTGTATAACAGGCCCTATATTCATCCCCCTTGCTGCAACTGACTCAAATGGGGGAAGGAGAGGGCAGGGCAAATTGAGAAAGTAGCACTGACATATACACACACACACTATCATGTGTAAAACAGGTAACTAGCAGGGAGCTGCTGTGTGATACAGGGAGCCCAGCCTGGCACCCCGTGATTGACCTGGAGGGTAGAATAGGGAGCAGGGGAAGAAGGTTCAGGAGGAGGAGATCTATCTACCTATATATATGTATACATGCTAAGTTATTTCAGTTGTGTCTGACTCTTTGTGACCCTATGGACTGTAGCCCACTAGGCTCCTCTGTCCATGGGATTCTCCAGGCAGGAATACTGGAGTGGGTTGCCATGCTCTTCTCCAGGGGATCTTCCTGGCCCAGGGATCGAGCTTGCACCTCTTATGTCTCCTGCATTGGCAGTCGGGTTCTTCACCACTAATGACACTTGGGAAGCCTATATATATACACACATATGTATGTATATATATATTTATGACTGATTCTCATTGATATACATCAGAGACCACCACAACATTTTAAAGCAATTTTCTTCCAGTAAAACAAACAAACAAAAAAAAATAAATGAAGTTAAAAAAATTCTTCAGAGACTAGTTTTCCCACCCTTGGGCTCTCTCCCCCTTTCCCCCACCTCAACCTTGGAGACACCCCTCATTGTCCTGCTAATAAGGAATGAAGTGTCCTATCTTATTTATCTTTTGACCTACTCAGGTCGAGATCTCCTGTAGTGTATTGGATTGAGATATTAATAAAGACCTAAAGAAATGTGAGCATTTACATGGATGAAAACAACTTCCCAGCGTCTAATGGGGCAGGAAGTTAGTTGCTGCCTGCACCTTATTTTCTTACTGTTGTGTCGGAACACCTAGGACCATCTGGAGTTCTCTTTTTATCCTGCCACTGCTCTAGGGACTCTGCCCTTCACCTTCCACTGACGGCCCTTCTGGTCAGTGACTCTCCTCTCCAGCCCAAGCGGATGGTACGGAGTTGAGGAGGTGTCCTGAGGCACAGCCCCGCAGAGCACTGGTCTAGAGGAGGAAGTCAGGATAAACTCAGGAGCGTCAGCTTACCAGGGCAAAAGAAACGAACTTGGCTTGAAAGGTCCTTTCCTCTTTGCTCTCATAGTCTATGACTTTATTGCCTTGGCTGAAAGCGCTTAACCTATTTAACAGCGCTGTACCTCTGTGGTCTCTCAGGGACACATACAGTTCAAAGGAAAATCTGATGTCATAGATTCCCCTCCTGGTTGCCTCCTGAGACAACAAACAGCCTTTCATAAGTTAATAAACATCTGGCTTACTGCCAAGCATGTCCGTCTATTAGTGTGATGTGCACACACGTGAAGAAAAACATCTACGTGTAAGTGTGGTGCTAAGACGGTGGACTTCACTGGCTGCCCTGGAATATACCCAGGGACAAGGAGAGAATGCCAGAGCAACAACCCCAGGGGAGCCATCACGGTGGCTACTGCCAGTTGGGAAATACCAGAGAATTGTACATTCGGCACACGTCAAGTGGGCACCTAGTGTATGCCAGGCTCTAAGTCACTGGAAGACACCCTGCAGATTTTATGGCTCAATCATTAAAGCAGTCGTTCAGAGCATACAGATAAATGTAAAACTAGAATTTCGAGTTGTGGCAAGAGCTACGAGGGAGAGAGGCAGCATGTTTCCAGATAGCACTTGAACTTGTTACGAATGTGTACGAATCACTTGGGGAGCTGTTAAAATGAACATTCTGATTCAGCAGGTGTGGGTGGAGCCTGAGAGTGTATTTCTGATAAGCTCTCAGGTGACAGCAGATCTCCTGGCCCACGGAACACAATTTGAGTAGCAAGGATGTAAGACATACTATCTGAGAAGAGATCTAATTTACATGGGGAGTCCGGGTTGGTGAGATGGGGGTGTGGTCATTTGAAGGCTTTCTGGTTTTCTAGCTTCAGACATGGGATGTCAAATAGACAGGGAAGAATCCTGTTGCTTAAACCTTAGCCCAGGACCCATGGCATCCAAGACAGAAGTGTGGCTATTGCTGCCTTGACGAGCTCCTAGGATGAGAACAGGTCTCCATAGGTTCCGTTAGCTACCCACAGGAGACAGGATCAAAGAGTCAGGGCCAGAGGGGAACCAAGGCATTGTTTAGTCCATCAAGCCAATTTTTACAGACAAGGAGACTGAGATACTCGTGAGTTGGTGGCAGATCCTAGAATGAAATTCTCCAGTGCTCTTTCTATGCCCCAAGAGAGATGCTGTCTTCAGAAGCCAAGGATAGACCAACTCATTCTCCTTGCCCCCCTCCCTCCATGCGCCCTACTGTTAGTAGTCTTTGCATTTGGAGGTGGAGAAGTAGGGTATAAAGAGAGGACAAATTAAATTTTGTTGAGGACCCTCTATGCCCTTGACACTACACTGAGTGCTGTCCATTTATCTACTCCTCTTTAGTGAGATACCTCCCAGTCTAAGAATTCTTTCCCAAACCTGGCCTGGGGATCTGGGTCTTGGCTGGAGAAATGTGAACCACCATGCTTAGCAACTTGGCTTTGAGGTAAATAGTAAACAGGCTAGACGCAGACAGAAGCAAATGGGCCCTCCCAGGTTGTCATTCTCAGCTCCACTGAGTAGCTCCCTCATAGCTCAGCTGGTAAAGAATCCACCTGCAATGCAGGACACCCTGGTTCGATTCCTGGGTCGGTACGATCTGCTGGAGAAGGGTCAGGCTACCCACTCCAGTATTCTGGCCTGGAGAATTCCAGGGACTATACAGTCCCTGGGTTTGCAGTGAGTCGGACGCAACTAAGCGACTTTCACTTTCACTGGAGTAACTCAGGAAACTTGGTTTCCATGGATACCAACCACTACACTTCCTCAAATATGCTTCTCTCTCTCTCTCTCTCTTTTTCAGACTCTGAGTATCTCATGGGTATCCTCAACAGTGTTTCTGTGTATGCAGGGAGGAACCCTCCCTACATTTAACCTTTTTGTTCCCAGGTGAAATGAACTGTTCCAGTCATCTTTTCTGCCTAGGATTCTGTTTTCCCATTTCCTTTAATCACTGTGATTGCAAGGCTAATAATCCCTCCCTCCGCTGGATTATTGACATAATAAGATATTATACATAAAGTTATGGACATTGTAAGATATTATGCATAAATAGCAAGTGCTTGGGAATGGTGGCTATTTTGGTTACCCTCTTAATCCTAACCAAGTGTGTAATCTGTTTCAATACCTTTAAAGCTTCATTTCTTTTCACAGAGCAATCCTGTGCAGGGAAATCAGCTCCTAAATCTACTTTGACAAAAGATGCCCTCTCTTTTTGAAAATGGCCAAAGACAACTGATGTTTGGACTATGCCAGGTGGCCTCACATCTTGTAAGATGGGCCATGGAGACCTTTACCAGGAATGTCTCTCTTATTTTTGAACTAATGTGATTAAGCACTTAATGAGGGTACTTCAGAGGGGACGACAGAGGATGAGGTGGTTGGGTGGCACCACTGACTCAATAGACATGAGTTTGAGCAAGCTCCAGGAGTTGATGATGGACAGGGAAGCCTGGCGTGCTGCAGTCCATGGGGTTGCAAAGAGTCGGACCAGACTGAGCAACTGAACTGACTGACTGAGGGTACTGAATCATCAGGGGCTAAATGCTTTACATGCATTGTCTTATTTTATCTTTACCCCAAGACTTAGTGATTGACTGAGACTTAGAGAAACAGCTTAGTGGCTATAGAAGGTCCCTTCGATGGTGAATAGGAAGGAAAGGATTCATAATGGGGCATGTTGACTTCAAAGGCAATGCTCTTCAATCCCAAGCCATGTCGCCCTTCTAGGGTAGGGCAGGATGCAGCTGGGGCAGGAAATTCTCTTGAGACTCCATGAGAAAGTGGATTGAGGTACTAGAAAAATTTTCCTTGGTAGCCTTGATTTTGCTAATGTTAGTGAAAGTGG